ATATGTTGCCATTTGAAAGAAGAGGTATCTTCAAAGTTATAACAGCAATCACTATGAACAAGCAATATTTTGAGCCTCAAACCTGATAGCTGATACCTAAAGATCTTTTAAAATCTATCCATCTATTCATTCATTGTTCATTCATTCATTCAGTGAAGGTGGGGTAGAGGGAAGTCTGTCAGGAATCAAAAGCTTTATTGTGTATGTATTTCTAAAAGTTGTTTTCTGGGATGTATTTCCTATGTCGGGCCAGTAGAAAATTTAAGTAGCATTTTTTAAAGAAATGGGTAGGAAAGCTTTGATTTAATTTCTCCTAAAGCTATGCAGCTCCTTTAGCTGCAAAGCTAATATTCAATCTTTATTATCCAACAGATACGTTTTTTCATTGTGCGTTATTCCACTGTCTTTGTTCCACTTTCTGTACCCCTTTTATACACAGAAAATCATGCATTCATTGTCTGTGGTCAGCAATATATTACCTACAGATTAAGAACTAGGAGTATAGGTTTTCAATTCAGGCAGGATTAGTTTTACTCTACTGCTCATTAGATATGTGGCCTTGTAAAGCTTGCTTATCCTCCCTCTTTGTCTAAGTATTCTCATCAATAAAATGGGAATATATACATTAAAAATTGTTACAATGACTAAATTAAAAAAGATGTATATAATGTGTTTTTTTTTTTCTAATAGAGGTTTGTCAGCTTTGTTGGAGATATTTAATGTATACATTTTGATGAGTTTGGACATATGCACGTATCATGAGACCATCACCACAATTGAGGTAATAAACATATCCACCACTTCCAAAAGATTTCTCATGTCTTTCTCTCTTTCTCTCTTTTTAAATGGTAGTAACACACAGCATGAGAGCTATTTAACAATTTTTAAGTGCACAATATACTATTGTTAACTACAAGGGGCTGTATTGTATAGCAGATCTCCAGAATTTATTGACTTTGTAAAACTGTCACTTTACACCCATTGAACAAGGCCCCATTTCACCCTCCCCTTCTCCTCCGGCAACCACCATTCTATGCTCTGCTTTCATGAGTTTGACTTATTTTAGAGCTCATACAAAGGAATCATGAAGTATTTGTCCTTGTGGCCGACTTATTTCACTAAGCACATCTTTCAGGTCTATCTATGTTGTTGCAAATGGCAGGATTTCCTTATTTTCTTAAGGCCGAATAACATCCTATTGTGTGTCTATATATACCAAATTTTCTTTATCTATTTGTCTGTCAATGGACATTTGAATTGTTTGCCTATCTTGGCTGTTGTGAATAAAGCTACAATGAACACGTGAGTGCAAATATCTCTTCTAGATCCTGATTTTAATTCTATTGGATATGTTCCCCGGTGTGGGATAGCTGGATCATATGGAAGTTCAATTTTTATTTTTTTTGAATAAACTCCATATGTTTTCAGCATTATGTCTATTGTCACAGTTCGTGTTGGTATTATTATTGTTGTAAATGCTAAAATCATTTTTAATACCGATGATCTTTTACAGATTCATAGGAGAGCCAGAGTCATTCATAATAGAGTGAAGTAAAGATGACAATATTGTTTTATTTATTTTATTGTTTATATATATATATATACTCCTTGCACTACTATATATATATATATATATATATATATATATATATAAAACTAGGACCTGAAGTGCCTACAATCTAGTTGGTAGATCTTAGCAATGTCACTCTTCAGATCTCAGTTACCTCTTCTGAAAAACAGAAGGGCTGTGCATAAGATGAATGATGTGTTTCCTATTCTGTTCCCCAGGGACCTATAGTTCAATCCCTATAGTATATGGGGGTAGGCATGTGCATGTATACATGTTTGTGCATGTGTGTTTCCTACCTGTTTCCAAGTATAATTTTATTGAAAAAAAGTATCGTGTAATAGCAATGCTTTTTTAGCTGTGAAAAAATATATTGTTGAAAGCAGATTGTCTTCCGCCTGTTTCTATTCCCAATAATAAGTGCCTTCAAGTGCTGTAATTCTGTTCTATTTCTAATTTTATAGGATTTATGGTAAGAGATGGTACATTATTCAAAGAGTATCATTTTCCTTTATTCCCCTAATGTTAACCTTGTTATAAAATTCTATGCTATTGTTTCATTTTTCAGTCCATTAAATACCAACGCATGTTTATCATTATGTTTATTCTATATTGGCCATGAAACATAAGAAAACTCTTAAGTTCAATTCAAAACAACCTTCTCTGAAGAGCCCTCGAAAATTAAAAACAACATTTTAAAATTTAGTTGACATGGGATCCCACAATGAAACTGATGGCAGTGATTTAAAATCCTTGTTATAACTGTGAATTACTTTGTTATTGCAGATGCCTTATTATCCTAGTAAAAAATACACACAACAAAAAACACCTGTCTAACAGACAGAGGACTGTAAAAAAAAATGTTTGAGTCTCTACACCTGAATATTTATATCACTCAAATGAAGCATTCAAGCATTTCCAATTTTCTAACAGACAAATCAAAATATCCATGTATCTTAAAGGTATTGGAAACATGGGGTCAAATCCTGTGCCTTCTAAAGTACTGCAGATTCCTGGAGAAAATCAATTACTTCTGCAAACTAGAAATTGCATAAATTACTAAACATGTCCTGGGGACAAGTCAAACCTACAGTCAATCTACCAGTGTGTAGTACTTTCTGGCTCCTTGATGCTTTGTTGCACTGGAGACATTCCCATAACATGTAGAAATGCAACAGGCATTACAGAAGTTGGGTCACACATCAGGGGAGAGGAAGGCAAAGGCTCTGCAAAACTCGTTTTTAATGTTTTAAGGATATGAGACTATTCTCTGGAGACTTTTATTTCTTCATTTCAAATTAAAAATGGAGTCTGTGTGACTTTGTTTTACAATAAATATCAAGTAAACTTACAAATATAACTGCCTAGATTGTTTATCTTCCCAAATTCACTTTTTAATTATTGAAATGAAGAAGGAAAAATATGAATGAAGGATTCAAATTTGGAGTCCAGATTCGTACAAATCTATAAAGGTGGGAATGGGCATTTGTGAGCTATTCCAATAACAAGCTAATTAATTCATCCCATTTCTTTGCTTTTGGCCGGAATAGGATTAAACCAGGGTGGTAACTGATTATATCTCTTGCTGATTAGAAGTTCTAATTGCCTAATATATTTTAGATGACTAAAACTATAGGACTAAAATATTTATTTTTGAATAAATTTTATTAGAGGATAGAATTAAAAATTTGTGTCCTCTAGAGGAAAAGTAAAAGGAGACTGTAGTGAGTTGAACAGTGTCCCCCTCAAAATTCATGTATACCTGGAACTTTAGAATGTGACCTTACTTGGAAATAAGATCTTTATAATCAGTTAAGGATATTGAGATGAAACCATTCTGGATTTAGAAGGGGTTACATCCAGTGACTGGTGTCCTTATGCAGAGATAAGGGAGGCATATCTACAAGCCAAGGAATGTCAAGGATCGCCAACAGCAATCAGAGGTTAGGAGAAAAGCACTGATGAGTTTTCTCTCAGAAACTCCAGAAGGAACCCACCCTGTTGACACCTTTATTTCAGACTTTTGGCTTAAAAAAAAAAAATGATTTTACTTTCTGTAGAGAGAATATCCTGAAAGTTTGTATATGTAGGGAGCCAGAATCTTGGTTTGATAATACTAAGCCGAATGTATTAAATTCCAGTTGCCAAAAATATAAATACTAGACAGTTCATATCAGCAATTTCCTTTGGCCTTGTGGCTACTATTCTTCATTTATTTTCTGAACTACTGAGTACACTGTTTAGCTGTTCAGTGGGCCAAGAATTAGTTTTAGTGGTAGGAATTTTCAATTTTGGTAACCAAAAATCATAATATGACATTAGCGTCATTTATTTATTTATTTATTTATTTATTTATTTATTTATTTATTTATACATACACATTTTATTGTTACAAATGTAAGTAATAATCACTATCAGTATATTGGTATATATATTAATACAAATATTTTCCTCCAAATTCATATTTTTAATTTATAAATATGGACTCAATAATATTGATTTAAAGTTGTTATTCACTTAACAGTATGTTTTAGGTATTTAACATGTGATTTAGGGGATCCCTGGGTGGCGCAGCGGTTTGGCGCCTGCCTTTGGCCCAGGGCGCGATCCTGGAGACCCGGGATCGAATCCCACATCGGGCTCCCGGTGCATGGAGCCTGCTTCTCCCTCTGCCTATGTCTCTGCCTCTCTCTCTTTCTCTCTCTGTGACTATCATAAATAAATAAAAATTAAAAAAAAAAAAATAACATGTGATTTAGTATTTTTACATTATATTATTTTCAACAGATATGCAGTATTTCATGATATGATTTTGACTAAAATTTTTAGGTGACTACCTACATTTGGATACTTGAGTTCTTTTTTTCTTATAATCTGCTATTAAAGCAATATTGCAAGGAAATGTTTATAGTTAAAAACTGTAGAAAATATGGCTGCAGTATTAGAGTAAAGTCCTAGTAGAAAACTTAGATCATACATCTATGAAGATCTCTCTCTCTCTCTCTTTAATTCTCTGCCTCACACACAGGTATAACACATACCTCCACATTGCTTTCCAGAGAGATTCTAGAATCTTCTGGCTCACAGCAATATATGAATATTCGTTTTTTCTCTCATATGCTTTCCAGTACAGGGTATCATCATCCATTTATGTCTTTATTGCTTTAATCAAAAGAAAATGCTAACTCATTTTTGTTTCAATTTGCATTTCTCTACTAATGAGTTTGAACACTTTATCATGCATATTGGCTATTTATATTCTATAAATTGAATATCCAGTCCTTAGTTTTTCAATTGGAGCACTCATATTTTAATTAATTATCATATAAAAAGTTTATTTTATATCTTAAATCATTTTCATTTGAGAAGGAGGATAAATTTTAATAAGTTTTCAGGGCTTCAAATGGCAATATCTACCAAAAAATAAGGCATGGTGCTTGCTCCAGCAGCACATATGTTAAAACTGGAGTGATACAGAGAAGATTAGCACAGCCCCTGTATAAGGATGTCTTTCAAATTCATAAAGTATTCCACATTTTTTTATGATATAGATCAAAATTTCAAGAAAGTAGATCCTGAGAGTTTTCATCACAAGGAGATTTTTTTTTTCTTTTTCTGTTTTATTGTATCTACATGAGATAATGGCTGCTAACTAAGCTGAAAGTGGCAATCATTTCACAATAAACACAAGTCAAATCCTTATGTTGTATACCTTAAACTTACACAGAGATACATGACAATTATACCTCAATAAAACTGGGGTGGAAAGGCTTGGATATAATTATCCATACAGGCTCTTCTTCTAGTCTAATATTATATCTTAAGAATTATACTAAAAACTTTTCAGCAAGGTTTTTTTCAATCTTGGTGATTTCTTTCAAAATAAACTACATGTGGTACTAAGTATCCCCTTGAGCACATATGCCTCACCTCAACTTAAATTATTGTTATCTTCTCCCCATAATTTCATCCATAAAAAAGCCATAGTATCTCAGCTTTTCTTAAGCTTTTAAAATGATGTACTAGAGTCATAACTTCCGCTGATAGGCAAAATACCTGCCTAAGAGATTTTGTTCAGACATAAAACAAATAATGTTATTTTTGACAACCTACCTTGGAAGCATTCTCACCATCATGCTAACATTTTATAGGCATAAAAGACAAAAACAAGCAAACAAACAAAAAAAAAAAGCAGAGGTAAAAAACCAGGTTTTGATCAAGGCTCAGAGTGTGGGCTGAACAGGTAGCTTAAAATGTACGTGTTGTGTCTGTGTGTGTGCACTATGATTTCAAATGAAGATTTACTGAATACTTGGTATAGAGAAAAGAGTAAATAAAGGGTTACTTTCTTCTTTTCTCACTTGCAGTGATACTTTATCTATGAGCTGTAAGTTCTGAGTTTCAGTTTGTATATTTCCCCGGACCCAGGTTTGCTCAACTTCACCCACCAGTTCTTATCATGAGCCACTGCTATATGCTTTGCTTCCCAAGTCCCTGGCAATAAGTTGTGCTTCTCTTAGCTATAAAGCCCTCTTGAGTATTGCTGCTACCCTAGACCAAGCCACCACCACGTGAAGTACTTACTAATAACAAGGAGAGAATTCCAAATGCTCTGACTTCTCAGGTGCTGTTTGGAGGTACAGAATAGGTAACAGCCTATTGGTAATTGGTAGACTTTGACCAATGATAGGCAAGAGACGAACTGCTAAGAGTTCCTATCCAGCCATTGATTATGATACACAGCATTCATGTACTTCATGTGGCCTCTGAGGAGACCCCAGGAAGCCATGAAAACACCATGTTTGCCCTACACTTTTGGCCAGCTGAATGATACGCCACCATCATTGATGTTTTTTCTCCCCTGGCTCACTTTCTTTGATCCCTCACTGGTGCTTTCCTGGGCTTGCAACCCCCACAGGTATTACCTTGAAAGCACACTTCAGACTCTGTTTTCTAAGAACCTGGCTGACATGAATTAAGGGTTCCAATAGTGGATTACTGGATTATTCATTTTATAAAATAAATTACATATTATCTAAATACCACAATGAAACTGAATCCAATTGTCATAAAGAAGTTTGACTTACTCTGAGTTCCACCAATATTGCTACAAAAAGTGAATTTAATTTTATGTTTATGGAAAGTAGAATAATCAGTTTATTTCCCAAACTACCCTTTTCCACATTTTCCAACCCCTTCCTCATTGCTGGATATTAGGGGGAGAGGGGCCAGAGTGACTTAAACTTGGAACCATTTGATTAGATGGCTTTTTTAAAGTTATTAAAGTTAAAAGTTATTTGACAAGAGGAGCTGTTGTTGAATCATCAACGCTGAGAAACTAATATGGATTTCAAAAATCTGATATATTTATTAAGAGGATGATCCAGAAGCAAAATATGTACTGAAAGCATTTTAGAGAATATCAAGTTAAAAATATAGAGGTTATTCTTGTTCAGACCAATAAATGTCACCTGTTGGGAAACAAAAAAAAGAATGTTCCCTGGAAGTAAGAGTATATTTTATTCCCAAAGCATTTAATTCATCAAAATCTTGCAATACTACACCATGTGAACACTGACCTGTGAATAAGTACCAGAGGTTGTTGGGCTCCAGTGTTTCCATCTCACCCCTGCGGGTCGTCTTTCTGTGTCGTATTTTATAGCCAGTAATAAATCCATTTTGTGTTCCTGATGGAGGAGGCAGCCAGCTTACCTTGATACTCTGCAAAATAATACATATAAATTAAAACATTGAAGAAAGTTAGGACAACAGGATGAGGTCAAAGAAATGACCCAAGCTGAAGTACGAATAAAGTGGAGAGGCAGGAAATGCTAGTGATTACCTCATAAGAAGCAAATTAAAGCCATTCTTACAATCTGACAGTACTCCTCTTTGTGTAATTTTGACAAAGACACACAATTCATTTGATTGATTACATGCATTATTACCTCTCCTTTGTAAATACTACTAAAATGACAGTAAAATATTCTAAAGGATATAAAGCTATAAGGAAATAGAGAATAGGAGTCTAATGGATGAGGGATGTTAACAAATATTTAAGGGGTATAATCTAAGAGAAGTCTGGTGGCTGAGGCAAAGGAGAAAGACGAAACCTAAATTACCCCTTAAGAGGTATTAATGAAAAACAAGGTGATTTGCATGGCAAAGGTCAGGGAAGACTAGAAATTGTTGCTTCCAAAATACCTTTAAAGACAAAACTGAAACATGGTTCTGAAATAAAAGATGGATTGAAAGTCCTACCCACATCCAGTAAAATCACTCTACTGACCCTCAGCGACCTGGAAGTAGCTTGGAATTTTTTCCTCGAGGGATATTGAAACAGAATCCACAGATTCAGATATCAGGCACAGAAGCAAGAAGAGATGAGGGCAAGGAACTAATTTTTGACTTATTAAGTCAAAGACACCTAAGTCGTCTTCATCTGCATTCAGAGTAATGACAACCAGGTGTATATTCCTCAGGCAAAATATCAGGTAATAATTCTCTAGAGAAAATTATAAGTTTGGCCCTAGAGAAAACAACAGCCAGGTTTCTGATTAATCCACCAATAATGAGGCTCCCACTTAATAACCCCCACTCATGCACTAGAATTTGCACTTTACAATCATTTTTTTAGTACATATTTCATTTTAATGTAAACTAACAACAACTTAATACTACCAGACATTTTTTAAAAAGCCTTTAGTATAAAAGGAAAAAATACATAAGAACACAATGGCCCTTGAAAAAAACAGCACTGATGCTTAGAGCAAAGAAAGGATCCAAAAAGCTGTCATAACCCAGATAATCTAAGAGAAAATATTGCATTCATGAAAGGAATAAAAATACAGAAAAAATGAAAGATTCTTTTAAAATGTTATGACATTTATAATTTGGTTGAAACAGTTAATATTCAACAAATAAGTTGGAAGATAAATTAAAGAGAAATTTCCTAAAATTCAGTGGGGGTAAAAAGATGATCATTGAAAACTGGAGAGAGAAGATAAGAAAATAGAAGTTTAGTCCATAATTTCCAACATCCAACTAATAAAAGGAAATAATAATCAAAAAAAAAAACAGGAAAAATAGAAGGCAGACAATTAGCAAAGAACAGATACAACAACCCTTCTCCACCATAAAAACCTTAAAGATTTGAGACTTCAATCTAAAAGGGATTATGAAATGTCTGACATCATGCATGAAAAAAAAAAAAAACATTAAGGCTCATTACTGCGAATACTACAGCCTCATAAGGGAGAGAGGATCCAAAAGCTTCCAGAATGACAGGAAAAAAGGTCACATAAAAATGATCAGAAGTAAATATGGTAAGGAGTCAAATTTCTCAATGATATTCGTAGTTAGAAAACAACAGAACAGCACTTATAAAATTCTAATCTTAAAGATTTTAAACCTAGAATTCCAGGGCTATACAAGCAAATTATCAAGTTTAAAGAAAATATAACACAAGTATAAAAATAAATGCTTATATAAGTACAAGTATAGGAACTTTTCAGAAATGCATGGTTTCAAAGGTATCCACCTGCATTCCCTTTATCAGGAGGCTAATGAGGTTCTGCTTCAGGAAAATGAGAATACAAACAGGGAGAAAAAGATTTGAAATCCACAAAACAGAGAATCCAAAACAGAATTAAAAATATGGAATTCTCAGGAATACAGTGAAGAAAATTCTAATGTGATGTAAGATTGGGTATAAGGAGACATAGACTCAAAAGAGTACATACTGTACTATTTAATTCTATTTATACGGAATTCAAGAATAAGAAAACTAATTTATAGTAATACAAAGCAGACCATCAGTTTCCCATGGCAGTTGTATTGGGGGATTGATTGGCTATGTGAAGAAGGAGACTTTTAAGGGTGATGGAAAGAAACATTCTGCATCTTTGTTTCATGTTTTTTTTTTAAGAGTTTATTTATTTATTCATGAGAGACACAGAGACAGAGAGGCAGAGACACAGGCAGAGGGAGAAGCAGGCTCCATGAAGGAAGCCTGATGTGGGACTTGATCCCAGGACTCCAGGATCACGCCCTGGGCCGAAGGCAGGTGCTAAACCACTGAGCCATGCAGGAATCCCCTATTTCATGTTTGTTACATGAGTGGATACAATTGTCAAAATATATCATTATGGGCTTAATTGTGCCCCGGCCCCAAATTCACATGTTGAAGTTCTAATCGCTGGTAGCTGAGAATTTGAGTGTATTTGGAGGTAGGGACTTTGGAGAAATTGTTGGTTAAATGAGGTCCATTAGCATGGGACCTAATCTAACATGACTGGTGTCCTTATAAGAAAAGGAGATTTGGAGACACACACAGAAACCCTTGTGAAGACAGTGGAAGAATAGATCCATTAGTAAGTCAAGGAGAGAGGACTCAGAAAAAACAACTCTGCTGATACCTTGATCTTGATCTTTCGGCCTCCAGAACCCTGAGAAAACAACTATCTGTGGTTTGCTTAGGTTTCCTTCTTGGTGGGGTTTGCTACGGCATCCCTAGTGAAATAATACATTCATAGAAATAA